CCTTGAACCCAAATGTAAATATTTGAAAACTGGGTAACTGTCATGGTTTTATAATTTTGTTATCTGTATTCCACATCGTAACATCATGTGAAGCATGGGTAATTAAAGAGTTAATACTCCAGTTCTGTGGACTGACAATTTTCCGGATATCTGGATCCCAGAAGAGAAGAACTACATATCTGCCAAAATGTTTCCTAGATTGATCATTTTGGTGTCTACAATTTAAGAACCACCATTAACTACAGCCATTGGCAGTAACTGTACAACTATACAGAAATGTGTTGTTAATTAATGAATTTACTGATGTTTTGTTATAAAGTTTAAGATTGACTTGATATATACCTTGATATGTACTCTAAATACTTCCACAGCAGCCTAATACTCTAACTGATACACAGAGAGGAGCAGATACATATTTAATTATAACACACTGATACAGAAGTGTTAATTTAGACCTTTGGACCTAATTTTTCAAATTATTCTTGTAATATTATATTAAGAATATTGGTGAAAAATAATATTTTCAAACCTCTCAATCTTTGAAGCAAGAGATTTATATTTTCTGTTTATTCCAAAATATCAGGTACTGATATTTGGCAGTCAAATCTTAAATTACTGTCAAATTACTGATTTGCTCTCCTGTTTATGTAACCAAGAACTTACAGTCCCCTAGAACTCCGTACCCCACCCTCATATGCGATTTCAGAAAAGGCTTTGGTCTTGCAATGATAAACCTTTAATGATCTTTAAATCTTTAATGGTCTTCTCTAGCATGTGTGTGTAGTGCCCAGAACCTTCCCCTCTTTGGCCTTCAGACTGACAGCTGAGAGACTCGTATTTTCCAATGAGACACTTTTTTTTTTTTTTTTGTAATATCTAATAGTTGCAAAAACAAAACGTAACTCTCATCATTAGACTGTAACTGTATGTTTCTGTACAACGCTGTTACTTCTTGAACTACATGACATACGTATCTAAAAAAAATGTATTTTCCAAACTACCATATATAAGGCAAAGAATTTTGTATATAATTTAATTTATGCAAAGCATTGGGTAACAAGAATCATAAAAATCATGCTAATATTCATAAATCAAATTGTGAATGAAAATAGTGACCACACTAATATAAGCCAACATCTTTTTTTGAAAGCACTTTGGTATTTATAATGGAATATTGAAATAAAACATATAATATAACATCATTGTTAGATTATTTTTCTTCATTTATGTCTAGAATCAAAATGAAAGCCATGCACATAAGGAAAATTGATAGAAAATATATTTTTAGCTATTTGTCATGTCCTGGCCACAAATCTGGTCATTCGCACCCTATTAGTGGAACCACCAACCTAATGAATTCTGAAAGTAACTCTCCTGTTAATTGAAATAAACTTGGAAATACCAGTTTCTCAACTACTAAATGATTATACACAATATCTTGATTGGAATTAGATCACTAAAATTCAAGCTTTTTCTTCTACAAATTATCCAGTTACACTGTTACGTTCTAGAGTAGATAATTTCAGTATGAACTAGCACCTGGCTTATTTGAGTGTAGTTTAATTGAAATGTTTTTATTTGTTTATTTCTTTATGAATAACTCTTTCATTTAGTACTTCAAAATAATAACTTCATACTGGAGTTCTAACATGTCCAGTACAGCAGCACTCAGTGGGGGTCTGACTTCATTCAGGGCACAGTACTCTACCGTCAGCCTCCATTCTCTATTGGCTTTACACACTGGCCATATGGGGCTGTTAAAAGGTGAGTGAGTTTTGCTGATCACTCCCTGACTCTCTATCTGACAAACCAACTTATGAATAGGGAGCAAGGAATCCCTGTTGTGCGGTACTGCTGTCTGTGCACCGTTTTTGTAGCAATCGGTACCTGTTGCTTCTTCACTTGTAGCAAACCTACAACAGATCTTCTGTCTTCTGATAGGCCAGGCAAAACAGACAAATGCTTAACACCTTGGTTGTCTGTAGCAACTGGAACAATCACCTGTATGGAGAAGTTCACCTTGCTGGTTGATCTGTCTTGTAATTCTTTTACTTGTGCAGGAGTGGTTTTTTTATGCCACTTCTTCATATCTTCTCCATGGTCATGTAGGTAATGCCACAAGGCAAAATGCAATGTAGTCTTACTGTTGTCACTTGCTTGAGCAGGAGGAAGTCTTCTTTTGATAGCTGAGTGTCAACAGTTTACGGGCTGGTTTGTCCCTATTCTGTGACTAGGGGGCTGGAGGGATCCTCTGGAAAAGGGAAACAGGGGACCCCAAAATAATTAGAAACACCGGCAATGATCTGAGGAGAACCAAATTAATTTACTAAATATTGTATGGGAATGCAAGATAATACACCATAATACAATATAATTAGAATTGAAGCTAATAAATCAACTATAATGAGAGAGAGAATGTCCAAAAGGTGGATAGGCCTCACCATAATGCTGAGGTGAGATGTGCAGTCCAGTTGAGCAGCAGGGAGACAGGAGGAAAATGATAAAGAAGAGCCGATGAAGAAAAGCAGACGAGGAAGCGCAGACGAAGAAACGCAGATGAAGAAGAGAACATCTGATGACCTTGTCAGGAGTTACATCTCCTCTCTGACTGCAAAGCTCCCTGGTAGTTCTTCTCTTCCGGACAGGTATCCAGAACTTGAGCATTAACAGTTAACCTCCCAGTGCACTACATGATGTTATGATGTGGAATACTGACAACCAAAAATCATAAAACCATGACATTGAGACATCAGATGGTGCTGGCTGGGAGGAAACCAAGTTTATCAGCCCCTCCAGTCGTCAGTTTTGGGTATCCTGGCTCCCTTGGATATAGCTGATACCACCATGGATCCATCAGCATTAGGCACGGTTGACCGTTTGTCTATTATATCTTCTTGTTTGCTCTCCATTCTGTCCAATTTTTCAGCTATTTTTTCAATGGCTCTAACACAAGCTCATAGATGGCTTAAATGTAACTCAAAGTCTTGAAGTTTATTAATCAGTTCATTTATAAGGGGTCTTCTTTCCCCTCTGCCATACATTGCTGCAAATGTCCTGGCATACCTTTCTGGTGCAGTCTTTGTGAATGTACGCCACATGTTTGGTGTACACCTGACTCTCTCAGGATCGTGTTCTTGGTCTGGATCATCAGGAATGAAAGTGGGGCTATGTAACATTTCTACCGTGGCATATTCTCTCAAATAACAGATACCTTTTTCTATATCAGTCCATTTCTTTTTCTCAGGCATCACTTCGTCTTTGAAGGGGTATCTTTTACAGCTAACAATGTCTGCTTCCAGATGGTGAAGGGTTCATTCTGGCATGTACCAATATCTCTGTCAATGGCTGAGTCCCTAGCAAAGCCACCCCGTTGGTGAGCTTCTCCATTATCTAGCCACACACTGTTGGCCCCATTGTCCCAACATCGAAGTAACCAAGTGGCAATAGGCTCATTTGGGTAGTGTGAAAAGTCTTTTCTCAGACCTCGAATTTCATTCATTTTCAGAGATCAATCAGTAATAGCAATGATGTCTTGCTCACCTCTTACTCTTTTGGGACTCCTTGTTGCCCTTGTAGGCATTGGTGACTGCAGTCTTATTGAGGACCCCTCCCCTGGACTCAGGGGTGCTTCCCCTGGATCTCAGAGCCACTTTTCTGGACCTCTTTCCTCCTCTCTTATAGGGACTGCTTCCTCTACTTTACCCTCCTCCTCTTTCTTCTGTTCCAACAGTGTCAAGATTTGTTTCATTTTCTGTCGTCTTAGAGGAGCAACTGACATCAATTGTGGTGCCTCCTGTGATTGATCAGGTTGATCAGTTCCGATGCTCTTACCCTCCAGCTGAGCTCAGAGTCTATCTCATTTGATTATGAGAGTATTTAGTTCAGACTGGAGGATGACTCACTCAGTTTGGAGGGTGTATAGTTCTGATTCGAAGGTGTCTCACTCAGAGTCAAAGGTGTCTTGTCGAGATTGGAGATTCCTTCTCTCAGCTTGGAGATCTTTCCTTTTGGCTTGGAGACTTTTTGTCTCAGCTCAGAGACACGCTTGCCAGGTTTTGAGATTCTCTCTTCTGGCTAGGAGACTCTCTTTCTCAATCTGGAGGTTCTCTGTCTTGGTATGGAGACTCTCTCTTTGGATTTGGAGATTCTATTTCTCAACTAGAAAACTCTCTTTCTGGCCCTGGAGATTATCCTTCTCGGATTGGACTCTCTTCTGGAAAATCTCCTTTTCAGCTTGGAGACTCTCTTGGAAACTCAGCCTGGAGATTCTGTTTCTCAGCAAGAAGACACTCCCTCTGGAGTTGGAGATACTCCCTATCGGTTCTGAGACACTCTCTTTCAGCACGGAGACTCTCAATTTCAGAAACTCTCTCCCTCTCTGGGATAGTATTGAATAAGGCCTGATGAGTATTAGCCAGGCCCCAAATCATTTGTATCTCATGAGATCTGCTTGAGCTGAAACATTCCTGTCTCAAATATCTGTTTAAACTCTCAGGGTCTTTCAGGGGCTCAGGAGTAAAGTTCCATAATACCAAAGATGTCCATGTCTCTAAAGTCTCTCCCAGGCCTCTCCACACTCCCTGCCACTCAGTATTCTCTGGTTCTGGGGAAGACTTCCTCAAAATATTATAAATCCAGATACTGAGTGAAATAAATAAAATAATGAACAGTACATTCAGGGAGATTAATAAAATGATCAAATGAGCATTTAAAAAATGCATAAAGGATTCAGAGGAGAGATTGGGAACCTGATTAAAAATCACAAGTTCTGTAAAATTAGCAGCTCCCTCTGCATCCAGTTTTAAAACAGAAAGTGTAACCATTTTTTTTTTTTTCTTTTCCCAGAAGGAAGATAGCAGTGCTCAAAGTTTACAGATATCCCAGAATATTGGCAGCCTGCCTATTCGGACTTTCAAGGTCAAGTTTTCAGCGAGCACGTGTGAAAGAGATAAACTTTCCCAAAGAAGCTCTCCTAGAGAAGAGAGAGATTTGTTCTAAAAGCAACTCTCCAGCAAGAATGTCAATGGTTTACGGGCTGGTTCAGCCCACTTCGTGACTAGCAGGGTGGAGGAATTTCACAAAATCCGCACCTCTGGAAAAAGGGAAACAGGGGACCCCAAAATAATTGAAAACAGCGGCAACGATCTGAGGAGAAACAAACTAATTTACTAAATACGATATCGGAATGCAAGGTAACTAATACAATATAATAAGAATTGAAGCTAATAAATCAAATATAATGAGTTATTTGAATATTTAGTTCAGATCAATATCCAAATTTTGGCCTCTTCAAACCAAATATCATGCTTTGAATAATTCTTCCCTCCCCTCTTCCCCCCCCCTCCCCCCCCCCCCCACACACTTAGTTTTGAGTGGCTGCATTTTATTTGTTACACATTTTGTTGAGTTTTTCTCTACTTTGTTGTTTCTGTTTTGCTGACTTGGAATGTCTAGGAACTATTTCTAGTTCTGCCCAAAGGTTTAAAATTCTAAAGTTCTATACTTTTATCTTATATTAATTCTACTTACTGTATTGAATGGATCCTAGGCATCCCTTTTATGATATAGCCACACATTTTCTACCACTCTTGGATCTACTTTGTAGCAGATGAGTCCACACCAAAGTCAGTGTGTACTTTAAATTCAGTTCACTAACTTTTTTCAACAAAGGTTTTCGTTAGAACCTTTGAATTAATTATTGGTCATTTATAGAAAATGATTTAAAGATATTCAGTAATTTGTTGTATAAAACTTTTTAATGGGGTTAAAATTTGTTTATACGACACTTGGTTCACTTAAGAGGAAGTTCTACAAATGAAACAAACAGAAAATGAGATAATTATCTGATCTAGAGTCAGAAATTCCACAACACACAGAGAAAAGTTTTTGTTGCATCTACGTTATATTGCAAGGGTAAGCAAAGTCAGAGTGAGAAGTTATAAAAAATAAATGTGGATAAGCAAACATCAGTGGTAATATTTTCTTTGTAATAGATAAGGAAACAAAAACAATTATTTAGTTACTTCAGAGAAAAAAGGAAGATAAAGGGAAAGGGAAGGGCTCTAATTATCAGAAGGGAAATACACTGGAGGGAAAAAAAGTAAAATTTCTAAGTATTTGCTCTGCTTCACTTCACTCAAAAGGACTCTTGTGTGAAATGATTAATTATGCTGGGAGTAGGTTAAGAACATAAGAGAACAGACATCAACACTGTTAAGAAGCAAATGAGAAAATAGCTGGACCAAATTAATGTCTTGAATCAGCAGGGCCAGATTAAATACATCAGAGGAAATTAGGTGCTAAAGGAATTAGTCAGTGAACTTTCACAGACAATGGCAAATAATTTTACAGAACTCTAAGGAGATTCTAGACTGTAGATTAGTAACTTGACATGAGTTATTGAAAAAATATCAGCTAATCAGAGATGTAACACAGAACAAAATGTATTACAGTAACTGTTAGAAAGATGTTAGAGGTACAGAAAAAAATAATTGTTATAGTTCACATATATAGCTTATACATGAGAATGAAAGATGTCATAAATGTGATTTCTTGCCTAATAAACATATTTACTAGTGTAATTCATCATATCTTTGAAAAATACAGCCAATGGAAAACAAGCAATATTAAAGAATTGTTCATGTGCTGGAATGGGCTGCCCAGGAAGGTGGTGGAGTCACTGACCCTGGAAGTGTTAATGGATCATTCAGACATTTTGTTGAGGGTCGTGATTTGGAGAGAATTATTGGTGATATATAGTTGGTTGGACTGGATGATCTTGTAGGTCTTTTCCAACCTTGGCAATTCTGTGATTCTATGATTAAAAAATAAATAAGTAAGTAAAATCTGAATTTATCATCTAATGCGCTGGGCAGCAAAGTCCTGAAAAGATCTTCATCTTTAGCGACATGGAAATCTATTAATAGGATTTCTTGCACAAGAAACAAACTGGCCAACTATACCTCTTGTACAATTTCCAATGAGGTACAAGTTTTTAGAGTATGTCATTTTGGAACTAACTAAACCATATATATATACATATTTATATATACATATATATATATATATACTGAATTATTTATATATATATAATATATATATATAATGAATACATATGATATATATATATGAATTATATATAATAATTCAGTATGATGACCATTTCCAGTTAAAACCTAACAACCTAATAGCTATTATTAGAACCAGGTCATAAGTGACTTCTCTTAGAACAGGAATATACTGTGCAGAGGTACGTAGATACACTGCAGTGTATTCTAATACATTACTGTGATAGATGTCACACATACAGAATCCCAATATGTCTGCATGGTATATTGCCTTTATGGTTATGTGCACATTTGAGTGTGTGCATCTTTCTCACGATTGCTTGTGATGAAAAAATCATGATTTATTAGTAGTTTTGGTATTGAGCTGCCTGAGCTAGCTGAACGTTAATCATTCTAACTTTAAATTAGAAAGAATTATATTTAAAAATACTTTTTCCCCCTCATTTGCAATTCTGTCATGCAGATAAAGTGCTGTCAGTTAGTTATGATACAGGAAATGATAGATTAACTGTACTATTTCTACAATCTCTTTTTTTTTTTTTTTTTCCAAGTAGCTATTTTTTAATTTTAAAAGGTAGAATTTTAGAATTAATTGAGAACCCTCAATATTTCTCACTTTTTCATGCAATGGGCTAGCAAAAACAAGCAAACAAACAAACAAATAAGAACACCTACCAAAACTGTCACATATAAGAAGAAAGGCATTACTGCCAGTGAACTAGTGCAGATCAGTTCTTGACGAAGTTACTATCAACTAATTTTGGCATCTATTTGCTCGAGAGGAATAAAGGCATCTCCCCTTTCAAGAAAGACAGGAAACTACTGGACAGCTACAAATATGCTTAGGGGCCTGGAGCTCCTCTCCTGTTAGATAAGGCTAAGAGATCTGGGACTTCTTAATCTGGAGAAGGGAAGACTGAGAGGCAATCTTATCACTGCTTAGAAGTATCTAATCAGTGGATGTAAAGTGAATGAGGCCTGGTTTATTTCACCAGTACCCAATGAGAAGAGAAGGAGCAATAGTCACAAACTGGAGCACTGGAAGTTCCATCTGAATATGAGAGATAATTTTTCTACTTTGAGGGTGAAACAGCCCTGGAACAGGCTGTCCTGCAAGGTAGTGGAGTCTCCTTCTCAGAAGCTATTCAAAACTCACCTGGATGCTTTCCCATGCAGTCTACTATAGGGAACCTGCTTTGCAAAGGTTCTTAGACTAGAAGATCTCTAGAGCTCCTTCTAACCCCTACAATTCTGTGATTCTGTGATTCTATATTCCCACTTTGCATGTGGGAATTTGCACGTTGCATTGTACACAATCTAAATTGCTTTTCCCACTTTCATTTCTAATTCAGTCTTCCAGAAAATACTCATTTTATCTTTATCAGCTTTTACACAATCTCTGAGTTGACCACTGGTTGTGAAATTTATCATAGAGCAGTGGTGTAGAAAACTCGAATCCAAAAACAGAGTTACATGGGATTATGGCTTGAAAGTGCAGATGATGACAAGAAGCAGCTTCTGTCTGCTTCTCCACAGTAGTAGACTTACTGAGGTAATATAAATGTCCTAATTAGTATCAAATAGTTAAGAAGCTGAATCGCTAGAAAGAAGAACATTAGTGTCATTTCAGTCTATAATATCATGCACTGTGATAGCAAAGCAGTATTTTCCTTTGGGCATCAAGGTCCAAGCTCTCCAGTGCTAATCCAGAATGTCAGTACTAACAGAAACAATTTTGTTTTGGCACTGCTTATGCTTATGCTCTTAGTGCCAAACACAAGGCAGCCTCTAGGAGGAGTAATATATGGAGTAGAATTGTTAAATTTTGCAAGGATTTTTTTTTTAATTTTTTTTTCTTTCATTCCACTATTTATTTATTTATTTATTTATTTATTTATTTTCAATCAGGTTATATATTTTAGCACACATATAGGACATTTTATTGGAAGACATATATAAAGCCTGCAGGAATCTATCAGAGAACAAAAGCAAACATGACCAGGTACCAGTGTTTGAATGCAGACATGGAAGTTGGAACACAACCTCTCAAATTGTGTTGTACTAGGCATTTGGGTCAGGTAGGAGACAGCAGATGGATCTTGACAAAAGAGAAGACAGATTTTTGGTTGATATGAGAGGAGAGCTGCCAAAGTACCAGCTGTGGTTGAGAAAGGAGAGTAACCAAATTATTATCAGTGGCCTTTATTGGCAGATGTCCAGTTCTGATGTCTATTATTTACAAAGGATTGATTTCTTGAGAATTCACATAGGATGGCCTTTTTTTTTTTTTTTTTTTTAAGTGCAGTATTCTATATCTGGTACAAAAAGAAAGCAGTTGACTTTTTCAGATGTTGGAAGCAAATAGAGATTGGACAGTGAATTAGTCTATGTGAATCTTTGCTTCCCGGAGGAGATCAAATAATCAAGCTGCAGTGTAATTAAGATACATCCTTCATATCTTGCTTTTCATTCTGAATTTCCAATGTGTGCATGCTTTCTAGTAGATCATAAGACAAAATACTAGCAGGCATTTTAAATAACAAGCCACACACAGAATGTCTTATTGTCTGGAAACTAGATAAATTGTCTAATAGTATAGTAGAACTATCATCAGTAAAACAGCATGTTATTTCAGTGTGATGATACCCCACACAACATAGTTCAGGACAATTGACAACAGATGTCTTGGGCAGGTGGTTTTTAAGGAGTAAACTTGAAAATCGAAACTGCTTAATATGATATTTCCTCCTTTTTGGAGTAAATTATATAGCTCATTGAAGTAACAAATAACTGTGTTCAGAAAAGTAAATAGGAAATTCTTCTTAAATGGAGAATAGATCTACAAAATAACTTAAAAGCATTGTAGTGCAACCTTTATGTCAAGATTTAAATACACTTTCCCTTATTTTCAGCTTTTCTATAATCAGAGAAGTGATAAATAAAAGTTAATACAAAGACCAAACACTAGTATAAATTATAAACCAAAGTTATTCTAAAATTTCTTATTTCTTCTTTTTACATCTAAAACAGAAATGAGACAAATACAATGCTATAATTATTAACAAACACCCCTATAAAACCACACAGAGCAGGACAGAAAGAGTATGGCCTACTGTTCTAGTTCAGATAAGGATGTGCTTTTCAAATGAATATCCCAGTGGATATATATCTATACAGTATATATAATAGCAAAAGTTATGAGGCACCTAAGAATCATTTGTTCATCAGCAAGGAATATTGAAAAGTATACTCACAGGAAAAAGGATAAATATAAAAAAATAGGATTAAAAATGCCATTATTCATGAAAGGAAAAAAAAAAATTGTTTCACTCCAATTTACAGGAGGGAAGGGAGGTTCTTTGATATATGTATACCTGGTGTGAGATTAAGAAGCAACTGTTCAAATGTTGGTCTGACCAGTTTATTACAAATCTTAATCATGGTGATGGGGAAGGGAAGGAGGGTGACAAAAAAGATAGGAAAGAAGCAATAATTGTGTAAAGCGGGGATAGTCACCACCAGGATCCAGCAGTGGTTTCATTGCACACTCTTCTGATGGTCTGAGGCAAAAGTGCAGGGGGAGAGCAGTAACAGGGTGGCCGGCCTTGGGCAGCAAGCAGATACCAGGAAGAGACAGCAGGTTAAATCCAGGAGGAAGCAGTAAGTCTCAGGTAGAAGGCCCAGGAGTGAGTCTGTCAGCACGCAGGCAGCAACTCATGAGGCTTCTGATGATAGACACCTTTATTGTTCTTCTCCAGCATGCAGGTCTCTGGTTATAAGGAATCTGTTGTCAGAAATGTCTTCTTCATGAAGAATCCGTTGTTAAAAACCAATGTATATGGTTGTTGATCCCTCTTTTATTATCCTTTTTTTTCCAGCCTACGTTACATCCCTGGGTGCTTGGGTAGTGTCATGTGAGTACCCCCTGAGTTGACCATCTCCCTCAAGGTAAGTCCACACAAAAGACTGCTTCCCAGCCATTAAGCTCTGGATTATCTCTCTCTCGTTGACCCTGGCCTTTTCCATCTTCTGTCCCTCAGACAAAAGATTTTGCAAACCTTGCCCAAGGCCTTGTCCATCAGTGTTCTCCAAACAAAGGATTTCTCAACCCTTGATCAGGACTTGCTTGGACTTGTGACCTGTGGAACACCACTCAGACTCACAGAGAGTCAGAATGAAGGTAATTTTATTAGTTTAAGGTGCACACTGGTGCATGAAGGCTAACACTGCCCCCAGTTGTGCAACCAGTGGCTCATAAGCAGACATTTATACCATACAAAATGCACAATCATGATTCTGAAGCAAGAAATGCTAGCTCATTCTAGACAATGGGTCCTCCTCTGCTAACGAATTCTGCAAAAGTCTTCTTGCTCTCCACTCCTTCTTGGACATGCACTGTGTATAGGTATGTCTTTTTGAATATGACTTCCCTTGTAGTTTCTTATCTGAAAGCTTCAGACCTGGAATTCAAGGAATCTTTCACCTTGCAATGTGCCATCAATAAGCGAAAGCCTTGCTTGTGAAGAGGTTTATTGGCTAGTTTAGCAAAATCTTTGATCATCAGATTCTGTTGTTAATTCTGTTCTGAGTCACATTAGCATCTATTACACAGAAGAAAATATTAATACTGAATGTAAAGTTTCACTAAGAGGAATAATTAGAGGAACTACAACATCTGGAACTCAGTAAGTACCAAGTTGCAGAACTAGATTAAATCAGTAGCTATTTGATCAACATAAGAACACTGGCAGGAATATATAGAAATTGAAAGGGGAATTTATCTAGGTGGATACCAGTAACTGAAATCCCTTTTCTCTTTGCTGATGAACAAATGAAGCAATTTGTGCAGCTCTTTGAAAAACAGGTTAAAAAAAAAAAGTTTTTAAAGACATCTTTAAGACATCTACATTTTGTATATCTAAATCAGTAAGAGAGCTTCTGTTTTGTTCAAATGTGATGAAAACGTTCACTGCATTCACTTTTTCATGTATGTGGAAAATGAATAAATTTTTATAATTTCAATTTTGTTGACAATGCCAGAAAGCAGCAAGAACAAGCTCATCCAGAAGCAACAGAGAGCCAGGAGCCTAGAATGACAGTGAGGCACTCAAGGCAGTGACCTCAGCAACAGGGACACAAAGCACAACAGCTGAACAAGAAAAGCAGAGCTGGCTGAGTGACAGTAATCTGGGCCTCCCAACAGCTCAGTGATTGCCTGGCAAGACCAGCAATGAGGTCCAAAGGTCAACTCTTTGAAAGGGTAGACAACAGCAGGACAAGGGGAAATGGTTTTAAGTTGAAGGAGGGAAGATTTAGGTTGGATGTCAGGGGGAAGTTCTTTACTATGAGAGTGGTAAGGTGCTGGAACAGGCTGTCCGGAGAGATTGTGGATGCCCCGTCCCTGGTGCTCAAAGCCAGGTTGAATGGGGCCCTGGGTAGCCTGGTCGAGTATTCTAGTCTGACATGTGGCAGGGGGGTTGGAGATTCATGATCCTTGAGGTCCCTTCCAACCCTGGCCATTCTGTTTGATTCTGTATGTGAAAGCAAGCAGTTAAGTCAGCAGACCAGAATTACTGTCTCAAATGCAATTCCAGTGCCAAAATGGAGGAGGAAGACAGGAACTACCTGTTCCTGATCTCGAAGTTAATTTTCACATAGCAGTTTTCACAGAAATTTAATCTATAGTTAAATATTTGTGTCATACTACAACTAGCACTAAGCACTAGCAGCTCAATCTGTGTGAGATAAGAGACTGCAGAGTCTGTTACTACACTTAAGGCCCTGGCAGACGTTTTGAATATAAGCTAAGATTAAATGGAACATCACTATCTGTCTAGAAACTGCCATCAGTATTTTAACCATCATCAGTTAAAATACAAGCTCAATGAAACATAAGATCTATTAACTTCTGGCTAACAGGTACTGGTTTGTACTGGGCTTACTATCATTATTATTATTATTGTTTGATATTGGTAGCAGTAGGAAAGGTCTGTAGAGGTGGCCTCTGTGAGAAGAGAGAAGAAGCTGCCACGTCAGTTAAAAGCCAGTTCCAGCCAGCTCCAAAAGGACCAGAACTCTTTTCTTAAATGTGCTCTTATGGTGGCACAGCCAGTATTGCTCACAGTTCAGCTCTGGGGGTCCCTTTTGGAGCAGACTGGAGTTATGGAGCTTCTGGACTCATTATCAAGGCCACTCCTACAGACCTCTCCCCTTCCTCCCTATTTCCTCAACCCAGTACAGTGATAGGAAAAAAAACATTCTTAATAAGCACTGAAATTTTGACTTTGCACTGAGAATAAATCTCAAAGGGTGCCTAGGTATCTTCTAGGTGACTGTTTTGCAAATGACCCTCACTGGAAACTTTATTCAATCCATTCTGACTTATTTCCCCAAACTTCTCAGGAAGTCTTTCCTCCAAATCAGATTGAGCTGGGGATATAACAAAGGCTTCTTAAAAGCTAGATTGATCAATTGTTATTATGCACTCATATAAAACTATATTATTGTTGCATTTTTTTACTTTATTACTAAAACTTAAATAAAACAAATCTTGTCTTTTGTTGTTTTTACCCTAAAAATAGTGAATGTGAATCTTTAGAGTAACACTTCTAGTTACAGATTCGTGCACCCAGTTCTGCCTTGGAAACATCAGGAGCTTAGCTACAAGAAGCAGTGTAAAATCTTGGATGCATGAAGTGCTGTGTTCTTGGGGAATTCTTTTCCATGTTACATGTTTTCTTGATTACTAATCAAGGAAGTATTATCTGCTGAGGGAGAAGGCAGGAAAGACACAACTCCTACCTCTGGACAATTCCTGAGGTTTCTTCATGTATTTTTATTATAAATAAAAACTGCAAACTCATCATTGAGAGTTTCATATTTAAATCAATCATTTTAAAATGCATAAACTATCAAATATTTTCTACTAGTAAAGTTATTTAAGAGTGCAATTGTGTGTATACTGAAATAACTGAAGTATTTCTTACATTTTTGGAAAGGAAAAGAAAGACTGAAAAGCTACTTATGGAATTTTTATCTACTTGCTCAACACCAATTTAATTCACACCATGCAAAAATCAAACCACATATCTGACAGTGTTGTTCAGACACTTCTTGAACTCTGGCAAACTCCATGCCATGACCACTTCCCTAGAAAGCCTGTTCCAGTGCCAAACACTGTCTGGTGAAGAATGTTTTCCTAACATCCAGCCTCAGCCTCCTGTCACGGCTTCATTCCATTCCCTCAGGTTCTACGAGAAGAGATCTGCGCCTGCCCTTCTGCTCTTCCTCTTGATGAAGGCATAGGCCATGATGAGATCTCCTCTGAGTCTCCTCCAGGCTGCAGAAATCAAGGATCTTCAGCTGTGAGGAACAGCTGTTAGATTAGATGTCAGGGGAAATTTTTTCACTGAGAGGGTGGTGAGATGCTCGAACAGGTTGCTCAGAAAGGTTGTGGATACCCCATCATATGAGTCCCTGTGTAACCTGATTGAATGTTTGATCTAGTGACGGGCAAAAGTACTTGTGGCAGAGGAGTTGGAACTTGATGATCATCGAGGTTCCCTCTAACATAAGCCATTCTATGATTCTATGAAGAAACGAACAGATAGATTAAAACTGTTCTCACGTCTGAGATACTTACTTTGTAATGTCACATAGCTGTTTAAAACTTTAAAAAGTTAATTAAATTCAGATATTTAATTTAAATTGAATGTTTATTGTACACTAAATACATAACCTTTCTAATAAGAATTAATAAAGTTAAAAAGTAGTACCAACCTAATATGCTTGCCTTATAATTAACCCAACCATGCCAGCATTAAATGAGCTTTTGTGCTGTAATTGATAAATTAAACTTGCAAAGAGCTTTAGGATTTAACGGGTGTTTAACAAAATAATTTTGTTGGGTTGATTGGATATCAATTAATTGCCAAAAATTAGCATGTTAATTGGCATTTATTTTAGTATAGTCATAGCTATCTAGTCAATTGCTAATTAAAATACTTAAATAATTTCTTCCTATTTATAAGATGGAGATTGTGTTTTTATTACCTGTTTCATTTTGGGATAATGATATGGCAAGTAAATTTATGTACCTTGTTTATTGAATCTCAGTAGTATCAATTCATTCTCTATTAGCAGCGAAATACTCTTAATGAGAGTATATTTAAAATATGAATTTGACATCACATGTTCTGACAATGTACAATATCTGCATTTGCACTACCTTGCAAGATCACTGTCTTTTCTTTCCTCTTTTACTGCACCTCTTTGTCATGCTTTTCTATTCTTTCCTTTTGATGTTTATTTTCTTTTCTAGAAACCATGTCAATATGTATGAAACAACAGGATGTCACCGTTTGCACATATGTCATTGAGATCTAGGGCACCAACTCTGTATTGTGGCACTGCAGCACAGGAAGTTCCGCACAAATGTGCGAAGGAACTTCTTTACAGTGAGGGTGACGGAGCACTGGAACAGGCTGCCCAAGGAGGTGGTGGAGTCTCCTTCTCTGCAGATGTTCAAGACCTGCCTGGATGCCGACCTGTGCGACCTGGGAACCTGCTTTGGCAGGGGGGTTGGACTCGATGATCTCTGGAGGTCCCTTCCAACCCCTACAATTCTGTGATTCTGTGATTCTGTGACTGGACTGTCAGGGATCAAGTGCTAGCCATCACGGAGGATTCCCACTATAGACTCTTGAGAAAGGCTCCTGGGCAGCACAGGTTGAAGACAGAGGCAGAATATCTACTCCAGGCCCTGGGAGCTGATGCTGGATGCAGCTCACTCAGGCTTGGACACAGCTCCAGACTCATTGCTTCGCAAACCTTCTAGCACTCAGTCCTCACTCTGTGAGACAGGGCCTAGACTGACAGCTGTCCGAGCCTAGGGCTCACCTCAGAGATCTGCCCAAAGCCCCAAATTATGGCTGTCATTGTTCCTCTAGTTGTCCTGCTCCAGACTGCAGCTCCTGGCTTTGGACAGAGCAGCTGGCCCTGACTGTGCTCTAATGTATCATTTAAATTCCCTCACAAAAACTGCTGCAAAACAGTACAGAGAGAGTGCCTTAATTTTAACCTAACTGCGGAAGTATGTCTTGGTCTGCAAATGGATACTTCCCCAGAAGAAGCCTGTGAGAGACAGTGTCAAAGGCTTTGCTGAAGTCTAGATAGACTACATCAACAGCCCTTCCCTCACCTACCAGACTGGTCACCCAGTCATAGAAAGAGATGAGGTTGGTCAAGCACAACCTGTCTTTCACGAACCCGTGCGGGCTGGGCCTGATCCCCTGGACACCACGCACATGCTGTGCAATCTCATCCAAGATGATTTGCTCCATAACTTTCCCTGATACCAAGGTCAGGCTCATTGCCAAAAAGCGATGACATAAATAAAGCATTATTGTGGAGAGATGGATATGTTTCTCTGGTAAGATAAAGCTTATAAAGGTCTAGTAAGGAGACATGATCAAGTTTTTCCCTGAGTTGAATGTCTGATTAAAATTCTGTACATTCCACTAGAAAATCTGTAGATAATGTATTTATGTAAACAGAATAAAATTGCAAATATACAAAAGAAAAAAATGTTTTGGTTTGGTTTTTTTTTTTTGTTTTTGTTTTTGTTTTTGTTTTTGTTTTTGTTTTTTTTTGTAATTGTGAGATTTGTTTTCAAATTCCTTTATCAAAACAGAAAGTAAGGCTGCATATTTTTTTTCTGTTCACAGAACTAAATTTAGCTAACATATCAAAATACATAAAGTGACTAACCACAACTTAATCTTGTCATAATTTTCATTTCTTTTTGAACATTGTTACAGTTTGAAATATAGCACAAATAAGTTGATTTTCACATTAAGGACTCATGTTTAACTCATTTAAATGAGCAATAAAACCCACCAAAAATATTAAATCTGTGAACCATTTTTAATCTTTGTGTTCTGGCACATTTTTTCCTTTTAATTCCAAATGACAAATCATAAAATCTTGTTAGCACTTTTCCCCAACCCAGCCACTTTACTTCAGAAAAGTAAATGATGTCCCCATAATCAGAATCCATACTATTAAGGAACTCCTGAAATGAGCAATGATTCAATACATTGAATTTTATGAAATTCTCTATTTTGATGACGATTTGCAAAATATTATCAATTTTTAAATTTTTTGAGCATGAATTGTCTTGATGTACAATGCAGTGATATTTCATCAAATGCAAGTTCCCAGATGCAATTGCATCATATTCTCTTAATTTTATAAGCTCCCTTTTCTTACCAGCCATCGCCAAGGTGCCATTAGTAGCTATACCAGATAGGTTGACAAAGGTTAAAGAAAATTCCTGTCATTTAATTTTTACTTTTTTATAAAAATCAAGATATTTACTTGTGTTTTTTAATGACACCAAATAAGCTATTTCTTCAGTGACATATTCATTATCAATACTTCTAATAAGAACAGCAAGTTGAGACATATTTGTAACATCAGTACTTTCAACTATCACCAAAGCACAAAATTTGAAATTAGTAGCTTTACTCTCCAAATTACTTTTGAGAGATTTTCCTGTTTCTCCAGTTTGCTTGGCTACAGTCTGGTGAGACAAACTGATTTTAGAAAAAATTGAGAAAAAAAAATGAGGAAATCATTTGCCATGATTTCCAAACCTTGCTTAATAAACTCGTTATCAGTAAATGGTTTTGATTCTTTTACAATCAGATTTGCTACCACATAAGTAGCTTTTTTTTTTCTTTAACAGAGTTTGCTCGTGTTGTAACTTCTAATATTTTTTACTGAAATGGCAGACTTTTTCAGTACCACTATTTTGTCTTTATGAACCATTCCTCGATATGCATTGGATTTGGCAGCATGTTTTTTGCATGTAATGCCTCCTTAAATTGTAATATTTAAAATGAGACATAATTTCCTTACAAATTAAGCATAATGCCATATTACTTGCCTCAAAAGAGAATATTCATCTGCCCGTCTTTCATTGAACAGCTGCGTGTGATCTACAATTTTTCTTTTTTTTGGAGGGAGGGTTCTGTTTTCTTTTGAAATGGTATTAGTTATGTTGAATGTATATATGTCAGGTGTGAGATGTATGGTTAGCACTGCTTTGTTCCCTCCCTGTGTCCTGGATTCATTACAGACAGAGTTAATAGCATCCTGTATAGTTGTCTCCAAACAATGAGTAAGTGCCTGGGGCTGAACTAGGCTGCTCAGAGAAGAGTTACTGTCATGATGGTGAGGGAAGAGGCCAGCCACTGGACGGGATGGACTGGGCTGCATGGCCCCATGTCTTGTATTGGACATGCATGATTATAAACTTAACAAAAGTTTCAGGATTGTGACCCTAAATGTCAATGATCATTTCCTTTGTAATTCCAAATAAGAGGCACTGATGTTTCTTCTCCATGTGCTTGGGCAAGAATTCACATCAGTCCTGGAGAATTTCTGTCAAGCTCTGCCTAGGCATACTGACTTGAAATGTCTTTTTGTTCAGGGTGCTTTCTGTTTGGAAAACCATTACAGGGGCTGTCTCTATCTATGCTCATAGGGATATGTAACACAGTTGATAATTGTATGCATGCATATTAATGCATTATTATTTTGGAAAATGTTTTATGTTTCTCTGTCAGCTATTTAACTATTGTTTTCTTCTTTCTGTACATATTGTGTTTACACAGTGCTTTTACAATTGTAATAATATAACATACTCCTTCTGAACACTTCCTGCTGAATTTAATATGTCTTCCCATTCTTGCAATGCTTTGGAGTAGGAAGGTAAGTATAATGAATGCTGAAATGTAAGTGGCTTTGCTCCCCAAATGTATGTATTTATAGATAAAACATGATCTGAATGAAATAATAAAATATAAATATAAATAACTGTAAATATATTCTGAATAAATAATATTTTATATTTACTCCAGTAAGTATTCTTGGTGTTTGATTGTTTGTTTGTTTGTTTTTTAATGTCACTCTGTAATCTAAAAAGAAAAAATATACAAAATCTGGGGTTCCTCAACCATATTAAGAAGTAGAATGGTATTTACGTAATAGGAGATGAAATAGGAGCTGAATAGGAAGAGCAAGTGATGTAGTACCTCAATTTTCAAAATGATTTAGTTCTATGTCCTGAATTGTACAAGATGTCAAATTAGAATAAAGTTTGTAACATTTATAGGTCTTTCTATAAGTTTTATAAATTTGCTTGCTTGTGCCTTATGTAGTTTTGCTGTACAGTGCCATATACTAGAAACTTTAGTGGCAAGTGTTTTCCTCCTGTTGTAGAGGAAAATACTGTTTTCCTTTCTTATGGTCTATACACTAATCCTAAAAAAAAAACAAACAAACAAAAAATCAAACAAAAAAACAAACAAAAAACAAATATCTCAAGCATAATTATAAAAAAAAAATGCTATAAGGATGCTATAAGGAATCATGCTGAAACTATACAAAAAAAAAAAAAAAAAAAAAAAAAAAAAAAAACCCTAAAAACTTTGTTAGAACCTTACGATTTCCATTTAATAATGGCCTTAAATGCAAATATTCAAAAACACTGACTTGGAACCTGGAATCTTAGAATTGTAAATGAGTCACCATATTTTGAGACCCAGCCAGAAGTTTAATTATTAGAGAGGTTGGATCCCATTATCCCAATTTAGGCTACTGTATCTTGAAAACAAAAATATTTTGAGTTTAGCACTATATAGATATTTACTCGGGATTATATGAATAAATAAATTACTAGTTGAGGTTGTAACTAGCAGTGTTTCCCAGGGACTGGTGCTGGATCCTGTCTTGTTCAACATCTTCATCAACGACCTGGATGAAGGGGTAGAGAATACCCTCAGTAAGTTTGGTGATTATGCAAAGTTGAGAGAAGTGGCTGACGTGCCAGAAGGCTGTGCCACCATTCAACAATACCTGGACAGACTCAAGAGCTGGACAGGGAGGAACCTGATGAGGTTTTACAAGAGGAAGTGTAGAGTCTTGTACATGGGGAGGAATAACCACATGCGTTAGTACAGGTTAGGGAATGACCTGCTTGAGTGGAGCTCAGTGAAGAAGGTCCTGGAGGACAACAGGCTGGCCATGAACCAGCAGTGCACCATTGTGGACAAGAAGGCTAATGATATCCTGGGGTGCATTAGAAAGAGTGTGCCAGCAGGTCAAAGGAGATGATCCTCCCCACTATGCTCTGCCCTGGTGAGGTCTCATCTGGAATACTGTGTCCAGTTCCAGGCTTCCCATTTCAAAAAAACCAGTGATCTCCTAGAAGGAGTCCAGGGAGGGTCGCAAAGACAACTAAGGGCCTGGAGCTTCTCCCATATGAGGAAAGGCTGAGTAACCAGGTTTGTTCAGACAGGGGAAAAGAAGACTGAAAAGTGA